AGGGCCTCTAATTAAAAATTAGGTGCTCCTTTAGTTTTTGAGGTAATCAAAAAAAAAAAAAAACAAAGGAACTGCTAGGTTAATGGAAACTAGCAGTCCCTACTAATTAAAAAAACTCTGTAACTCAGTTAATATTTTAATCAATTCTATTTTTTCTTCGACTATTTAGGAGCACTTAAAAAGCACCTAATTCTGATACAAAAGGAAAATTTGAAAAACTATTCTTTATTATAGGGGACAGCTAGCTTTTATAAACCTAGCAGTCCCTTAGTTTTTTTTTTTGATTTCCTCAAAAACTAAAGGAGCACCTAATTTTTGATTAGAGGCCGTGATAAGCACCTAAAAAGCACCTATTTATTATAAAGATTTCGAAGTTTTTTTCCATTCTGACACACCAACAAGTAGACGTAAAGTCAGCAGTCCCCTAATAATTAAAAAAAATCTGTAACTCAGTTAATAATCAATCAATTCTATTTTATCTTCGAATATTTAGGAGCACCTAAAAAGCACCTAATTCTGATACAAAAGAAATTTTTGGAAAAATATTTTTCACTATAGGGGACTACTAGCTTTCATAAACCTAGCAATCCCTTAGTTTTTTTTGATTTTCTCAAAAACTATTTCTACTTATACTAGACACACTCAGTTTCCATTTTGAAAGTGTAGTGCAAGTCTATACTACATTAGTTTCAAATTGGTTTAGATTGTGCACTGCACTTTTTGTTATGTTCTAGTTGCTCTACACTTTCTGAACTGCATTTTTTGTACTGCATTTTCTGTTCTGTCCCATCTGCACTGTACTTTTAACTCTGTAGTTTTGTTTGCAAATCAATAAATTCTACTTGTTCTAGAACACGCTCAGTTTCCATTTTGAAAGTGTAGTGCATATCTCTACTACATTAGTTTCAAATTGGTTTAGATCACTACACTTTTTGTTCTAATCCAGTTGCTCTACACTTTCTGAACTGTATTTTTTGTACTGGACTTTCTGTTCTGTCCCATCTGCACTGTATTTTTAACTCTGTAGTTTTGTTTGCAAATCAATAAATTCTACTTGTTCTAGAACACACTCAGTTTCCATTTTGAAAGTGTAGAGCAAGTCTCTACTACATTATATAGTTTCAAATTGGTTTAGATTGTGCACTGCACCTTTTGTTATGTTCTAGTTGCTCTACACTTTCTGAACTGTATTTTTTGTACTGCATTTTCTGTACTGTCCCATCTGCACTGTACTTTTAACTCTGTAGTTTTGTTTGCAAATCAATAAATTCTACTTGTTCTAGAACACGCTCAGTTTCCATTTTGAAAGTGTAGTGCATATCTCTACTACATTAGTTTCAAATTGGTTTAGATCACTACACTTTTTGTTCTAATCCAGTTGCTCTACACTTTCTGAACTGTATTTTTTGTACTGGACTTTCTGTTCTGTCCCATCTGCACTGTATTTTTAACTCTGTAGTTTTGTTTGCAAATCAATAAATTCTACTTGTTCTAGAACACACTCAGTTTCCATTTTGAAAGTGTATAGCAAGTCTCTACTACATTATATAGTTTCAAATTGGTTTAGATTGTGCACTGCACCTTTTGTTATGTTCTAGTTGCTCTACACTTTCTGAACTGTATTTTTTGTACTGCATTTTCTGTTCTGTCCCATCTGTACTGTACTTTTAACTCTGTAGTTTTGTTTGCAAATCAATAAATTCTACTTGTTCTAGAACACGCTCAGTTTCCATTTTGAAAGTGTAGTGCAAGTCTATACTACATTAGTTTCAAATTGGTTTAGATTGTGCACTGCACTTTTTGTTATATTCTAGTTACTCTACATTTTCTGAACTGCATTTTTTGTACTGCATTTTCTGTTCTGTCCCATCTGCACTGTACTTTTAACTCTGTAGTTTTGTTTGCAAATCAATAAATTCTACTTGTTCTAGAACACGCTCAGTTTCCATTTTGAAAGTGTAGTGCATATCTCTACTACATTAGTTTCAAATTGGTTTAGATCATGCACTACACTTTTTGTTCTAATCCAGTTGCTCTACACTTTCTGAACTGTATTTTTTGTACTGGATTTTCTGTTCTGTCCCATCTGCACTGTACTTTTAACTCTTTATTTTTGTTTGTGAATTAATAAATTCTACTCGTTCTAGAATACATTCAGTTTCCATTTTGAAAGTGTAGTTCAAGTCCAAGGGGTAAACCACCATCCCAGAATTGGTGCAAACAATTCCTCAAAGGGGAATTTTTTATGCATAATTCTTCAAAACTCCTGCAAATTCCTCCATATTCCTCCAAATTCCTCCAAATACCCCACCACGAACTTCTCCAAATACCCCACAAATTCCTCCAAGAAAAGGAAAAATTTGAAAACTTTTTGCATGTAAAGAAGAAGGTGAGAAGCTCATTTTCCCAAAATTTCAAATTCTTCCAATGGAAAACAGTAACATGAAAAATCTTGAAAATGAACCTACAAAAACTGAATTAGTTAAAAATACAGTCTCACACATTTCAAAGTTTTCCTGGAAAACTAGTGAAGGGAAAATTTTGAAACTTTCAGCGTGTAAAGAGAAAGGTGAGAAGCTCATTTTCCCAAAATTTCAAATTTTTCCAGTGGAAAATAACAACATGAGCAATATTGGAAATCAACCTATAATAACTGAATTAATTGAAAATCCACTATTACATATATCAAAGTTTGCCTGGAAAACTAGTGGAGGGAAAATTTTGAAACTTTTTGCATGTAAAGAGGAAGCTGAGAAGCTCATTTTCCCAAAATTTCAAATTTTTCTAGTAGAAAACAGTAACATGGAAAATCTTGGAAATCAACCTACAAAAATTGAATTAGTTGAAAATACAGTCTCACACATTTCAAAGTTTGCCTGGAAAACTAGTGGAGGGAAAATTTTGAAACTTTTTGCATGTAAAGAGGAAGCTGAGAAGCTCATTTTCCCAAAATTTCAAATTTTTCTAGTAGAAAACAGTAACATGGAAAATCTTGGAAATCAACCTACAAAAATTGAATTAGCTGAAAATACAGTCTCACACATTTCAAAGTTTGCCTGGAAAACTAGTAGAGGGAAAATTTTGAAACTTTTTGCATGTAAAGAGGAAGCTGAGAAGATCATTTTCCGAAAATTTCAAATTTTTCCATTGGAGAAGAGTAACATGAAAAATCTTGGAAATTAACTTACAAAAATTGAATTAGTTGAAAATAAAGTCTCACACATTTCAAAGTTTTCCTGGAAAACTAGTGAAGGCAAAATTTTGAAACTTTTTGCATGTAAAGAGGAAGCTGAGAAGATCATTTTCCGAAAATTTCAAATTTTTCCATTGGAGAAGAGTAACATGAAAAATCTTGGAAATTAACTTACAAAAATTGAATTAGTTGAAAATAAAGTCTCACACATTTCAAAGTTTTCCTGGAAAACTAGTGAAGGCAAAATTTTGAAACTTTTGGCATGTAAAGAGGAAGGTGAGAAGATCATTTTCCGAAAATTTCAAATTTTTCCATTGGAGAAGAGTAACATGAAAAATCTTGGAAATTAACTTACAAAAATTGAATTAGTTGAAAATAAAGTCTCACACATTTCAAAGTTTTCCTGGAAAACTAGTGAAGGCAAAATTTTGAAACTTTTGGCATGTAAAGAGGAAGCTGAGAAGCTCATTTTCCCAAAATTTCAAATTTTTCTAGTAGAAAACAGTAACATGGAAAATCTTGGAAATCAACCTACAAAAATTGAATTAGTTGAAAATACAGTCTCACACATTTCAAAGTTTTCCTGGAAAACTAGTGAAAGGAAAATTTTAAAACTTTTTGCATGTAAAGAGGAAGGTGAGAAGATCATTTTCCGAAAATTTCAAATTTTTCTAGTAGAAAACAGTAACATGGAAAATCTTGGAAATCAACCTACAAAAATTGAATTAGTTGAAAATAAAGTCTCACACATTTCAAAGTTTTCCTGGAAAACTAGTGAAGGCAAAATTTTGAAACTTTTGGCATGTAAAGAGGAAGGTGAGAAGATCATTTTCCGAAAATTTCAAATTTTTCCAGTGGAGAAGAGTAACATGAAAAATCTTGGAAATTAACTTACAAAAATTGAATTAGTTGAAAATAAAGTCTCACACATTTCAAAGTTTTCCTGGAAAACTAGTGAAGGCAAAATTTTGAAACTTTTGGCATGTAAAGAGGAAGCTGAGAAGATCATTTTCCGAAAATTTCAAATTTTTCCATTGGAGAAGAGTAACATGAAAAATCTTGGAAATTAACTTACAAAAATTGAATTAGTTGAAAATAAAGTCTCACACATTTCAAAGTTTTCCTGGAAAACTAGTGAAGGCAAAATTTTGAAACTTTTGGCATGTAAAGAGGAAGCTGAGAAGATCATTTTCCGAAAATTTCAAATTTTTCCATTGGAGAAGAGTAACATGAAAAATCTTGGAAATTAACTTACAAAAATTGAATTAGTTGAAAATAAAGTCTCACACATTTCAAAGTTTTCCTGGAAAACTAGTGAAGGCAAAATTTTGAAACTTTTGGCATGTAAAGAGGAAGCTGAGAAGCTCATTTTACCAAAATTTCAAATTTTTTCAGTAGAAAATAACAACATGAAAAATCTTGGAAATCAGCCTACAAAAACTGTATTCATTATTCTTTTGAATTTTTTATATTTGATAATTTTTTTAAAATTCTTCATAAATTCCTCACAAATTCTCCCAAATTCCCAATAGATTCCTCCAAATTCCCTAAAAATTCCCCAAATTCTCATAAATTCCGATGAGTTCCTTGAAATTCCCGACAAATTTCTTTAAATTTCCCTCATTTTTGGCAAAAAATTCCTGGTTGGTTTGCCCCTTGTTCAAATCTCTACTACATTAGTTTCAAATTGGTTTAGATTTTTGTTCTATTCTAGTTGCTATACACTTTTTGTACTGCATTTTCTGTTCTGTCCCATCTGCACTGTGCAAATTCTACTTGTTCTAGAACAAAATTATTTCTAATTTAGATTCACCATCAAAAATGAACAAATTAACAATCCCCTCGTCACCAAACTGGTACGAGAGCGACATAATGGCCTGCGCCCCCGACAACACGCTTCTTTACGGTTCCAGACAGGATTTGGTCGTCATTAAACCCACTGATGCTGAAGAACCTGATGATATCAGAGTCCTTGCCAAGGCACATTCAATGAAGTAAGAATTTTGAAGTAATAGTTCATCTACCTATATCAAAGTGGAGTTGAAATTTATTTCCAAAAATGAAAAAGTCAAAACTTCCTCAATATTTCAAAGTTTAATCATTCCTGGCTTTTGATTGGTCTAATTTTCGTTTCAAAACCAATCAAATCAATTCAAACTGAGTTTTTCATGAGCCGGGAACAGGAAAAAGTTGATTTAAAATAATTTCATTTCTAGGATTGTTTCAGTTAATCTGAACAGGAACTGGGGTGACCCTCACAAATACGCAGTAACCGTATCCGAAGATAAAATCGTCAAAGCCTGGGATGTGGAAAAACTCGAAAAAATCTCCTCCCATGATAAACATCTTGCCGACCAATCAAAAATCGTTGGTGCCTCATTTGCCGGAGACGTCCGAATTGTCAGCGTTTCAGAAACTGGTTCGGTAATCCTCTGGTATCTTTCAACAGACGAAACAAATTCTATAAACTCGTTGTTTGGTAACAAAGTGACAGTGACGTGCATGTCAATTTGTCCTCACGCCAATTGGTTGGCGGTTTTTGGACTTAAAAGTGGGCTTATTGTTGTCACGGATTTGAGACGTACAGGAAAGGTTTTGTATAGTTTAAGGGGGCATTCTAAGAGTGTGGTTTCGTTAGCTTGGTGTCCTGCACCTGTCAATATTTTTCCCGCTACTCCTTTGAATAAGGTTGTTGAGAAGTTTGATGAAAGTTCTCAAGAAAATCAGTCATTAGTGGAATTGGGTGCGAAATCTTCTGAAGAAGCATCAGCTGTCAAATCTTATGAAGAAACATCAGCTGTCAAATCTTCTGAAGAAGCATCAGTTGATAAATTGTCTGAAATAAAAGAATTATTGACATCAGCTGACAAAATGTCTGAAGACAATCAGTCACTGTCATCAGCTGCTAAATCTCCTGAAACCAATGAGTTAAAAGAATCTTCTGAGGAGAAAGAGTTGCTGACATCAACGTCTGAAGAAAATCAATCTGTCAAATCTCCTGCTGAAGAATTGTCGACATCAACTGACAAAGAAGTGTCATCAACTGACAAAGAAGTATTATCAACTGACAAAGAAGTATCATCAACTGACAAAGAAGTATCATCAACTGACAAAGAAGTATCATCAACTGACAAAGAAGTATCATCAACTAACAAAGAAGTATCATCAACTGACAAAGAAGTACCATCAACTGACAAAGAAGTAATATCAACTGACAAAGAAGTATCATCAGCTGACAAAGAATTGGCATCAACTGACACACAAGTGTCACCAACTGACACACAACCAGAAATTGTTGAACAACAAAAATCCCCAGATCAATCAGAATCCAGAAGAAAGCAAAAAAATCCCAAAAAAGACCCCAACTCAGGAACTCAATTCACTCATTGTTGTAACACTGACAGCGAAAAAAAGCCCAAAATCGTCTCGAAAATCTCAGATTTCCTGGCCAAAACCCAAAAACAAGACTCAGATGGTTCTTGCTCCAGCGAAGAAAACCGACAATTCTGCTCTGCAAGTAGTTGCGATAACGACCTAAACTGCTCGAAACGCATCAAGGAACCTAGCCCCAAAAAACTAGAAAATGAAGTTTTCTATGACGCCCAAGAAGAAGAAAAACCCATTAACACCGAGCTAATTCGCAAAAACGAACAACCAAGAAAAGAATTCCTATTGGCTTCTTCGGCAAGAGAAACAAACATCTACATTTGGCGAGCAGGTACCGATGGTAGAATGCAAACCTTCCTAAAAGTACCAGCCCCGAAAAAACCCAGCAACCGCAAAAAAGCCAAAGAAACCCTGCCTTGGATTTCCTTGTGTTGGCCCACTCCTACAACCCTTTTATCTTCATCCCATACTGCTGAATTAATAGCTTGGACTTTGCCCAAACCTGGTCAGAGTGGGAAATTTTTCCGGACGGTTCACAGAGAACATTGGTCGGTACTTTTCAGCATAAAAGCCCCACTGTTGTACTTGAATGAGTACAATTTTTTGCAAAAGAAGCCAATGAATGTTTGGACCACTGGGATGGAGAGGAATGTTGTTAGTACTGATTTGGATACCGGGGATGGGTTGTGCTTTTATCCGGCCTTTGGTGGGAGCGTTAATTGTCTGGATGGGTCTCCATTGGATCCGAATCGGTAAGAATTTTTTTTAAATTTCAAAGTCAAACTTTTTTTCTATTATAGATAGAAAGCTGAAATTTTCGGCGATTCTTATCACAGTAGAGGACTATAATTCCTGAAAATTTCAGTTCATTTGGACTCAGTTCCTGAGATAAAATCCTATTAAGCAATTTGGGGTAATTTATCGATTTTTCAATTTTTCTGAGTGCCTTTTTTCATAGATTTCGCCTTCAAATCTGAGAATAAGTTAGTGTATGGAGTTTGGGGGATCCCAAATGATCATTAGGACACAAAATCTCAACAAAAAAAAATTTGAAATTTTATCGTTTTAGATTTAGATTTTGGAAAACTTTGGAAAGTCATAACTTTTTTTCTATTATAGATAGAAAGCTGAAATTTTCAGCGATTCTTATTCCAGTAGAGGACTATAATTCCTGAAAATTTCAGTTCATTTAGACTCATAGTTCCTGAGATAAAATCCTGTTAAGCAATTTGGGGTGATTTATCGATTTTTCAATTTTTCTGAGTGCCTTTTTTCATAGATTTCGACTCCAAATCTGAGAATAAGTTAGTGTATGGAGTTTGGGAGATCCCAAATGACCATTAGGACACAAAATCTCAACAAAAAAAAATTTGAAATTTCATCGTTTTAGTAAGAAGGTACCTACCTTATGATTTAGGTTTTGGAAAACTTTGGAAAGTCATAATTTTTTTTCTATTATAGATAGAAAGCTGAAATTTTCAGCGATTCTTATCCCAGTAGAGGACTATAATTCCTGAAAATTTCAGTTCATTTGGACTCATAGTTCCTGAGATAAAATCCTGTTAAGCAATTTGGGGTGATTTATCGATTTTTCAATTTTTCTGAGTGCCTTTTTTCATAGATTTCGGCTCCAAATCTGAGAATAAGTTAGTGTATGGAGTTTGGGAGATCCCAAATGACCATTAGGACACAAAATCTCAACAAAAAAAAAATTGAAATTTCATCGTTTTAGTAAGAAGGTACCTACCTTATGATTTAGGTTTTGGAAAACTTTGGAAAGTCATAATTTTTTTTCTATTATAGATAGAAAGCTGAAATTTTCAGCGATTATTATCCCGGTAGAGGACTATAATTCCTGAAAATTTCAGTTCATTTGGACTCATAGTTCCTAAGATAAAATCGTGTTAAGCAATTTGGGGTAATTTATCGATTTTTCAATTTTTCTGAGTGCCTTTTTTCATAGATTTCGACTTCAAATCTGAGAATAAGTTAGTGTATGGAGTTTGGGGGATCCCAAATGACCATTAGGACACAAAATCTCAACAAAAAAAAATTTGAAATTTCATCGTTTTAGTAAGAAGGTACCTACCTTATGATTTAGATTTTGGAAAACTTTGGAAAGTCATAACTTTTTTTCTATTATAGATAGAAAGCTGAAATTTTCAGCGATTCTTATCCCAGTAGAGGACTATAATTCCTGAAAATTTCAGTTCATTTGGACTCATAGTTCCTAAGATAAAATCGTGTTAAGCAATTTGGGGTAATTTATCGATTTTTCAATTTTTCTGAGTGCCTTTTTTCATAGATTTCGACTTCAAATCTGAGAATAAGTTAGTGTATGGAGTTTGGGGGATCCCAAATGACCATTAGGACACAAAATCTCAACAAAAAAAAATTTGAAATTTCATCGTTTTAGTAAGAAGGTACCTACCTTATGATTTAGATTTTGGAAAACTTTGGAAAGTCATAACTTTTTTTCTATTATAGATAGAAAGCTGAAATTTTCAGCGATTCTTATCCCAGTAGAGGACTATAATTCCTGAAAATTTCAGTTCATTTGGACTCATAGTTCCTAAGATAAAATCGTGTTAAGCAATTTGGGGTAATTTATCGATTTTTCAATTTTTCTGAGTGCCTTTTTTCATAGATTTCGACTTCAAATCTGAGAATAAGTTAGTGTATGGAGTTTGGGGGATCCCAAATGACCATTAGGACACAAAATCTCAACAAAAAAAAATTTGAAATTTCATCGTTTTAGTAAGAAGGTACCTACCTTATGATTTAGATTTTGGAAAACTTTGGAAAGTCATAACTTTTTTTCTATTATAGATAGAAAGCTGAAATTTTCAGCGATTCTTATCCCAGTAGAGGACTATAATTCCTGAAAATTTCAGTTCATTTGGACTCATAGTTCCTGAGATAAAATCCTGTTAAGCAATTTGGGGTGATTTATCGATTTTTCAATTTTTCTGAGTGTTTTTTTTCATAGATTTCGACTTCAAATCTGAGAATAAGTTAGTGTATGGAGTTTGGAGGATCCCAAATAACCATTAGGACACAAAATCTCAACAACAAAAAATTTGAAATTTTATCGTTTTAGTAAGAAGGTACCTACCTTATGATTTAGATTTTGAAAAACTTTGGAAAGTCATAACTTTTTTTCTATCATAGATAAAAAGCTGAAATTTTCAGCGATTCTTATCCCAGTAGAGGACTATAATTCCTGAAAATTTCAGTTCATTTGGACTCATAGTTCCTGAGATAAAATCCTGTTAAGCAATTTGGGGTGATTTATCGATTTTTCAATTTTTCTGAGTGCCTTTTTTCATAGATTTCCGCTCCAAATCTGAGAATAAGTTAGTGTATGGAGTTTGGAGGATCCCAAATAACCATTAGGACACAAAATCTCAACAAAAAAAAAAATGAAATTTCATCGTTTTAGTAAGAAGGTACCTACCTTATGATTTAGATTTTGAAAAACTTTGGAAAGTCATAACTTTTTTTCTATCATAGATAAAAAGCTGAAATTTTCAGCGATTCTTATCCCAGTAGAGGACTATAATTCCTGAAAATTTCAGTTCATTTGGACTCATAGTTCCTGAGATAAAATCCTGTTAAGCAATTTGGGGTGATTTATCGATTTTTCAATTTTTCTGAGTGCCTTTTTTCATAGATTGCCGCTCCAAATCTGAGAATAAGTTAGTGTATGGAGTTTGGGGGATCCCAAATGACCATTAGGACACAAAATCTCAACAAAAAAAAAATTGAAATTTCATCGTTTTAGTAAGAAGGTACCTACCTTATGATTTAGATTTTGAAAAACTTTGGAAAGTCATAACTTTTTTTCTATTATAGATAGAAAGCTGAAATTTTCAGCGATTCTTATCCCAGTAGAGGACTATAATTCCTGAAAATTTCAGTTCATTTGGACTCATAGTTCCTGAGATAAAATCCTGTTAAGCAATTTGGGGTGATTTATCGATTTTTCAATTTTTCTGAGTGCCTTTTTTCATAGATTTCGACTTCAAATCTGAGAATAAGTTAGTGTATGGAGTTTGGTGGATCCCAAATGACCATTAGGACACAAAATCTCAACAAAAAAAAAATTGAAATTTCATCGTTTTAGTAAGAAGGTACCTACCTTATGATTTAGATTTTGGAAAACTTTGGAAAGTCATAACTTTTTTTCTATTATAGATAGAAAGCTGAAATTTTCAGCGATTCTTATCCCAGTAGAGGACTATAATTCCTGAAAATTTCAGTTCATTTGGACTCATAGTTCCTGAGATAAAATCCTGTTAAGCAATTTGGGGTGATTTATCGATTTTTCAATTTTTCTGAGTGCCTTTTTTCATAGATTTCGACTTCAAATCTGAGAATAATTTAGTGTATGGAGTTTGGGGGATCCCAAATGACCATTAGGACACAAAATCTCAACAAAAAAAAAATGAAATTTCATCGTTTTAGTAAGAAGGTACCTACCTTATGATTTAGATTTTGAAAAACTTTGGAAAGTCATAACTTTTTTTCTATTATAGATAGAAAGCTGAAATTTTCAGCGATTCTTATCCCGGTAGAGGACTATAATTCCTGAAAATTTCAGTTCATTTGGACTCATAGTTCCTGAGATAAAATCCTGTTAAGCAATTTGGGGTGATTTATCGATTTTTCAATTTTTCTGAGTGCCTTTTTTCATAGATTTCGACTTCAAATCTGAGAATAAGTTAGTGTATGGAGTTTGGTGGATCCCAAATGACCATTAGGACACAAAATCTCAACAAAAAAAAAATTGAAATTTCATCGTTTTAGTAAGAAGGTACCTACCTTATGATTTAGATTTTGGAAAACTTTGGAAAGTCATAACTTTTTTTCTATCATAGATAAAAAGCTGAAATTTTCAGCGATTCTTATCCCAGTAGAGGACTATAATTCCTGAAAATTTCAGTTCATTTGGACTCATAGTTCCTGAGATAAAATCCTGTTAAGCAATTTGGGGTGATTTATCGATTTTTCAATTTTTCTGAGTGCCTTTTTTCATAGATTTCCGCTCCAAATCTGAGAATAAGTTAGTGTATGGAGTTTGGGGGATCCCAAATGACCATTAGGACACAAAATCTCAACAAAAAAAAAATTGAAATTTCATCGTTTTAGTAAGAAGGTACCTACCTTATGATTTAGATTTTGGAAAACTTTGGAAAGTCATAACTTTTTTTCTATCATAGATAAAAAGCTGAAATTTTCAGCGATTCTTATCCCAGTAGAGGACTATAATTCCTGAAAATTTCAGTTCATTTGGACTCATAGTTCCTGAGATAAAATCCTGTTAAGCAATTTGGGGTGATTTATCGATTTTTCAATTTTTCTGAGTGCCTTTTTTCATAGATTTCCGCTCCAAATCTGAGAATAAGTTAGTGTATGGAGTTTGGGGGATCCCAAATGACCATTAGGACACAAAATCTCAACAAAAAAAAAATTGAAATTTCATCGTTTTAGTAAGAAGGTACCTACCTTATGATTTAGATTTTGGAAAACTTTGGAAAGTCATAACTTTTTTTCTATTATAGATAGAAAGCTGAAATTTTCAGCGATTCTTATCCCAGTAGAGGACTATAATTCCTGAAAATTTCAGTTCATTTGGACTCATAGTTCCTGAGATAAAATCCTGTTAAGCAATTTGGGGTGATTTATCGATTTTTCAATTTTTCTGAGTGCCTTTTTTCATAGATTTCGACTTCAAATCTGAGAATAAGTT